GTTCGTTGGCGAGTGGATTATAGTTGCTGAGATTTATCAATTTAAAACCAAGAATTGCAACCATTATTCTAAAACAGAGATTATGAGGTCAGTGTCAAACCTTTATTTCATTGATCAGAAGTTCTGTGCTCACAATGTGACTTGAACTCGGTCAAACAACTGATGATGACAATATTGACATGTGCCAGTTCAAAACACGAGATGCATGTATTAGTGCCAACGTTACATGACACGTTACAGTTTGTAAACACGAGTAGGTAATCGGAGTATAGAGAATTCCAGCACAGTACAGAGGAAATGTTGTTACAGACATCAAATAACTTATAACACTGAAACAGATATTGTGTAATAATTTATTTTCAAAACAGGGAACGAAATTGACAATATAATCAAATATAATTCTGTTTTTCTTTCAGTCCTCTCAAAACTCAAAAATAACTCCCATATCAAATGATCCTCAGTCAATGTTGAGATGAAATGACAGCATTTTTGAAATCTGCTAATCTTGTAAGCATGCATAGTTTATGTGAATTGTATCTGAATGGGAACAAATTTGAAAAAAGAATATTAGATAATATTAATTTATGAATTAAATCATATTCTATTATTTTAAATACCAAGTAATGTAAACACATGGATGACCCACAATTCATGTTACAACTATCTCGGTGCTGTTCACATATGCACATATATTAAAAACAAAAATGACAAAAGATTAATCATGCCCTTTTCAGTCAATTATTATAATTTATTTAGTATGTAACAATTATCTAAAAATGAAAAAAAAATATTTATTTTTAATTTAATTCTAATAATTTGACATGTTTATAATTTACACAATTCAGGTCAGCTCTCATGACCCCAGTCTCACAAGATAAAATATAACAATTGTTAGTGCCTTTACCGATCAAAGTCTTGTTGGAAACTTGTGTTTCTAAACACTGTTATTAACAAAATATAAAAATAGTTTTTTAGTACATGTATGATAACACTTCTAGATTATGTAATACTGTGTTTTATTTATTTATTTATTTATTTATTTATTTATTTATTTATTTATTTATTTATTTATTTATTTATTTATTTATTTATTTATTTATTTATTTATTTATTTATTTATTTATTTATTTATTTATTTGTGATTTCTGTCATGGTGTGCAAAGCACAGATAGAAGGCCAATGTCATACCAAGTATGGATCAATGTGTGTGTTTTACAGTATTGATTAGATTTTGATACATAATTATTAGAGTATTTTATGTTTTTATAACAACTGTTTGCTCAAAACTTGATACATGCATACTGTTTTTTTAGTTGAATGTTTATCACTGATTTACAATTTGGGTCTGTTTGTAGTTAGTCTATTTTGCATGGTTAAGGGCAGCCATTAATCACCAAATTTATATCATATTTACAATTTTATTTTTTCTAAAAATATCTTACCAATCATTCATAAAATGGTAATGTAACTCACCAACTGACCTATGTTTATAATTTTCTTTAAAACACAGAATTAAAGTAATTAGTTTTAAAATTAGAATACTATATACCGGTAATGGGGAAATCAAATTTCCACTAAAACACAAAAATTAGCTTAAATAAGTCTTGAATCATTGGTCCAAGAAAAGATATCTGTGATGAATGTAATTTTGAAGAACAAAAAAATGATGCTAGCTATCAAAGTTTTTAAAGCCGATATAAATTATGAAAATCTGCCAAATAATTAATATGAAATTCAATTCATTGATCATCTGCTAGATTCTAGAGAAAAGTATTGAAAAAATAACATTGAAAATAATTGAATGAACAGAGTAATGGGACAGAGTAATGGGACAGAGTAATCAACTGTAATAAGTATCTGCATACATTCTTTTTTTTTTAGTTATTTTTCTGAGTTTTCGATCCAGTTAGATTGCGATAAACAAATAAACACGAAAAAACATATGTTTCCAATGCTAGTAATACCAATTATTTAATTTTTAAATAAAATAAACAAGAATGAGTTGACTATATGCACCCCATGGAATGACAATAATACATTTGTGTTGGTTATTTATTTGGATGCATATTTATAACAATTTAACGACATGAAGTAAACTTGTATGTCTATTTACTAAAATTTTGTGAGTCCCCATTTGAACAAAGTTTGAAATGGAGACTTACAATTTAGTCACCGTCCGTCCTAAAGTCATATTTCGGAAGCCTGTGGACCAAATCTGTTAATTCTTTGCAGGTACCCGTACCTAGTACATACAGTGGTTTACTGACTCAATCCAAGATGGCTGACTGGCAACCATTTTTTTGTTGTTGAAAATGTAATATTTTGTGCAAGCTTTGTCAATTTTTTGTTCAAATTTGATACATACATTATTCATGTTAGGATACATGTCTATGTGATGATTTGTTTCACTATCAGATCAAAGATGGCTGACTGGCAGCCATTTTGTTTTTTGAAAATATAGTATATTATGCAAGTTTTTGTTCAAATTTGATACATACTTCTATACATGTTAGGATACATGTCTATGGTGATTCGTTTTACGATCGGATCAAAGATGGCTGGCAGGCAGCCATTTTGTTTTTTGAAAATGTAGTATATTATGCAAGTTTTTGTTCAAATTTGATACATACTTCTATACAGGTTAGGATACATGTCTATGTGATGATTTGTTTCGACATCAGATCAAAGATGGCTGACTGGCAGCCATTTTGTTTTTTGAAAATGTAGTATATTATGCAAATTTTTGTTCAAATTTGATACATACTTCTATACATGTTAGGATACATGTCTATGGTGATTTGTTTTACGATCGGATCAAAGATGGCTGGCAGGCAGCCATCTTGCTTTTTGACCATACATACTACTACATCCTTAAAATTTAGGCTTAAAAATCATTTTCATTCATATTTAGCACATACATCATACATATAGGAATACATGTTCTTGTTAATTTGTTCCAGAATCAGATCAAAGATGGCCGACTGGCATCCATCTTGTTTATTTTAATGTGGTACCCCCCCCGGTATCTTAGACAGAATTTGTCAATTTTCATTCAAATTTGAGACAAACATTATACATGTTCACATTGATTCGTTTTAAGTTTTGTGTGTCTCTCTCTGTATATGAGTCTGGACATATGAAATTCAGTTTGGATACAACAAATTTCTGACCATATATAATGATTTCAGAAGAGTCGTTTAATAAATCTAATTTCTGTTGATACTAGGATCAGCCAATTATTCACTCTAAATTATTAACTATACTTTTGGTGCATATTACTTAATTTTTGGCATAAATAATATCTCCCATAATTCCAATAGTGATATCATTAACAATGACTTGTTATTTATACTTTTGTCATTTTCGATAAAAAATTATATTTTCAACTTTTTCTTGAAAAATACCAGCTCAATTGCTCTGATACTTGGTATGTAAGTACCTTGGTTTGTTTCATGACGATAAATGGTTTCTATCAAGTTGATAACACGTGCAGTTGCCATAGCAACAATCTTATAATCTACCATGTTTATTTTGTAGTGGTCCGTGCTTATGTGGCTATGGCTGGAGCTTGTCATGCTGGAAAAACAGCCACAAAAATGAACCTAGCTGGCGAGCCATTTGATGAACACTGTGAAAGTACAGTAGGCGGTGATATGTTTGTTTTAGATCTAGACAACTGGACAATTGAACATACAGGTACGTATTTGTGTATGTTTACTGTATATTGCATCTGTACATTTCACTTATTCATGACACAATTAAGTACTAATATTATGCTAATATTGTATTGTTTACATATCAATACAACATTACACACACAAGAACAAATCATAGCAGCATCGGGAAATGGATAATACTCTATAATGCTACCAGTTATATGCAATTGTACATAACTGTTATATTTGACAGAGATAACAGTAATAAGTGTGTGTACATATAAGCACATAGACATGTATATTTCAATCACATTTACAATTTACACATATACCTCACATGATAGGCACATTTAATTTCATTGTGCAGACATGAAAATGGCTGAATTGTGGCTATTTTAGTGTATGATCAGACTACCCTGGTATATTTGCTAATTAATCTAATTGTTATAGTGAAGATACCATGACAAGAATGTAAGTATATAATCAGCATTTACAGAACGAGTGGGTACTATAGACTTGATTGTATAAACTGAAATGCAAAAAAATGCAAAAGCCACAAAATGCAAGCTTTATGATAATCAAGAATACTAGCAAAATGTTCTGAGATGAACACTAATTAGTTCCTTCACACACTCACTAATTTGCATTTAATTTACTAAAAATGTTTTCTTCATTTTGATTGAGCTCTAATCATCACTTATCACACCATCTGCATGTTTTTATAATTTTTTTATCAATCTAGCACGAAGTGATGAATCCGGAAATAAAGGTATTCATACTACTCGAAGCATATCACGTACGATTACGGCTTCTTTAGATAGGGAAGAGAGTCAGCAAGCATCTG